CAACATAATTTTTTTTAGAAATTTTGGGCCAAAATGTCGACTCCATTTATCACAATTCTATGGAAAAGAAAACAGATTTGACATAAAGGACAATGGTTTAATTCTGTATACATGGTACGGCTGACATTATTATAATGAGGGGATTGCACAACTCAGTTTCCAGGACATTGTTCTTAAAAGCGCGACCTTGGTCGCTCTTTCGACTACGCAAGACTACCCAGTAAGTCCTCTTGCTTCACAGACCCGAAGGAAGCCGGGGCATATCTTGATGTAGAAGTTATAGGTATTAATGATAAGGTAATTGATATTACAAAAAAAAAATTAATAACTCAGCCTTTTACTTTTTCAATGTCATCGTAAAATTGAAACTTCATAGAAAAAGTAATATGAATATAAATGCAAGAACTGCAACAGTAAATGTGCAATTGAAATTCGTAACGACAGATTATTTTTTTCTTTCTAAGAACCTCATGACAATGCAATTGTTTTAATATACCTAAAAAGTCTATAATAATAATGGAAAATAGTCAGGAATGTGCAACATTTTCAGTAAAAAAAATTTAGTTTATTGAATTTTCCGATAGTATATATATCATATATAGATAAATGAAAAATATAAGTACATCGAAAGTTTTAAAAATAAGCCAAATAATTAGAGTGAACAAAACTTAATAAAATAAAATAATTGAATAAATATGAAGTATGCAAAAACAACTTATATAAATAAAAATTTAACATAAATAAAAGTTATGATTAAATAACCACCACTTTTTTTTTCACCTATTTGGCCTCTTAGGCTATACGGGATTTTCCCGGGCCAAGGGATGATTAATGAAGGCCGGGGGATTAATGCCAGAGTTAAAAAAACCCACAAGCACCGGAAACTCAGAGTTATTTTATGATCTATAATTCTATCATCAGGTTATTTGCTGTGCACACACGTTAGCCCTCTAGCGGTCATTTAATCACTTGTACGTTCCACATTTTTTTCCTTTCATACTTTTATCATTCTTCTAATGTTATTTAGTATTAGTATTTAGTGTTTTAATTTTTGACCCTAATTATGACTCACATGTTTGGGTTGGAATGTCGGAAAATTCAATAAATATTATTATTTTTATTCCGCATCCTGACCATTTTTCATATATTATACATTATTTTTCGTATATATACCTTATTATTATTATATAATTTCATTAGAATTTACATGAATATTACAACATTTTCATTATCGTGAGTTTTTAGAAAAAAAAAATCTATCATTAAGAATTTCTATTTCACATTTACTATGAAATGTGTATTGTTCATATAACTTTCACTATGAAGTTTAAACTTTAAGATGTCATTGTGAAAGTTCAACAGTCAACTATAATTATTAAAAGTATAAATATATATACATATATATAAATAATAAATATGAGTTGACTACGTTTTTTTAGCTTTCCGAACAATAATCCGAGTTGCAATACTCGAAAATATAATTCGAAAATAATATAAAGATAATTATTAACTATTTTGAAATAAACACAAGGCCACCTAGATCGAAATTAAGTTTTATGGAATTCCATAAGGCCGTGTCGGTATAAATAGTAGACCTTGTTCCTAATCGAAATAATGACTTGAGGATTAGTTTTATCTTGAAATTACAGCGTGGTACCAATGAAAAGATAAATAATACGTTGTTTTATGAGATACACGTACTCAATAAATATTTCATGGAGTCAATAAATCCTTTTATCGCTATTACTAAGGTACTTTATTGTGACAAAATGTAATATAAATAAACAAAGAAATAGAGAAAAAATATTTAAAAATTCACTTTTTAACCTTGAATTCTTTTTACTTAAATTTTAAAGATTAAATAACGTTTGATGAAAAGTAAAAGAAAACAAATATCCATCCAAAATATATTACAACTAACACTCATTTTTTTCTCCCTTTAATTTTAAACAAAGCTATTTTCAATGTCTATTCTGAACATCTTTTAATTGATAATTATCTATAGACTATTATTTTTTTAAAATGTGAATATTTTTGTGAAGTTTTTATTAATATTATACAAAATATTTTCCTGAAATTAACTCTCTCTAAATTATATCGATTTTAGTATTTCATTTTTCAATTTGAAAAAGATATTTAGTTATATTTATTTATTTTTAGCAGCACTTTTTAAAGAGAGCAAATTAGAAAAGTTAAACCTTTTGTATACTTACAGCTAGCTTATAGCCGATCAGACATTACACGATCATTTCATGCCAAGGAGATTAAAATGATAAGCATGCTAACCTTGGAAAATCCATAAAGCTACAAAATGCGGAAAAGAGGCTTTGCACCGGCTCACTTAGTATTGCAACTTGAGTAATGGCATTCTGAAATAATGACATGTATATTGGTGGATGAAAGAAATAATTAAAAACTAATAGCAACGATCAGAGCCAACCAAGGAATGGAACGAGACGTAGATGGGAGTATATTTGCACCGGTTGTTTGAGGTATTTTTATCGAGCATAGGAGCTAAAAAAAACAACAACAAAAAAACAAGCAAACTTCCTAGATGAATCTATATTAAAATTGAATAAACAAAGCTCAGGAAAATATATAGAAACGGTTTATGTAACTTGGTCTTATTTCATTATTTTTTTTAAATGTAAATTTAGTTATTTTTTATTAATAATAACTTTTTTTTTACAAACGAACAGTTTGATGCACTAAAAATGTATCACAATTCAAAACATGTATCCAGTAACATTACTATTAGCGAAATGTTAATATTGGCTTATTAAATAACAATATCATCTTATAAATTTACTATAAATAATTGTTTTAATATGAAAGAAATATAGGTGTTTGCTTAAGCATAAAAAAACTATTGTTTACATAGCTAGTTTTTGTTTAAAAAAAATAAAACACATTTATTCCTTCATTTGAGGAATATAAGTAGATATGTTATAGCAAATGGTCTCATGAAATGAAAATATTATTTTATTCTGGAACTACAGTCTCCTAAGAATAATGACAGAGTTTCATAATTATGAACATTAGTATCGCTAAGAGTATACAAAGATATGTTTAATTAACTGTTAATTGTAATTTTAATTGCACAGTTTATTGAATTATTCAGTGTACAGAGGCAAGCAGATTTTACATATCTGCGGAAGTTTGAATGTGAAGGAGGTAGTGGAATAGGAGTTGTTAGAAGTAATTTGTGGACGAGGGTTGACGTATGGAGGTTGGTAGAGAGTTTCAAAAGGAGGTAGCATAAATGACGAAAGGTTTGCTGAAGGAAGTTGTTTTATTGGAGAGGATATATAAATCTATAGGTTGAGATCTGGTATTAAGAGAGTGGGTAGAAGAGCGTAGAGTAAGGAGGTTTTAGGATGGAGGTAGGGTTTTTGGTTTCGAGGAAAACGAAAACACCAAGTAGGAATCGCCGTCGAGAATTAGGATAAAGCCACTTCAATTTGGTATACATTATGCGAGAAGATATACAAGTTTTAGGGTGATGTCCCTCCCCCCGCAAATTCGCATGTCCCCTCTCTCCCTTACTCAACAATAATGCCAGCGAAAGTAGAATTAAAACATTCTAGATCGATAAACAATTACAATACCGTAATATGTTTTATCCTTGTAGCCTCATTGGAAATTTCTCCAACTTGAAACATCTCAAAAATATGGTCCCCTCCAAAAATTAATATTCTCATCAATATGTGCCTCCCCTTCCTCAAAAATTTAAAACCTTATTAAATCGTGGCCACCACAAAAGTTTTGATAGCGCTACTTGCGCCATGCAAACCTCTTCTGTGCATCTCTAATTGTATTAAAAAGTGGAAAGAATGTGAATTGCGTAAGGTAAAAATATAATAGGGGTGGTTACTGTTGTCCATAATCGGTCTTGGTCTTCCACTTTGCAAGAACAGTTAGTGGTTGTAACTAAATAAAAGGCCAAGACTGCCTAACTGTTGCAAGACCAAGACCAGGACTGTTAAAAAAAAATCGATTTATTTAATAAAAATTAAGGCAAAATAGTTACTAATACTTGACAATCTTAGCTAATATATGTTAATAATTGGTATAACCATTATGCTTTTGTATTTAACTCCTCTAATTTTTCATTCGGGCTTAGTTAGATTTCTCCTATCCAAAAAATTACAGTAAAATCTCTATAGTAATAAGCTAATAAGTAACTGCAAGATTATTGCGAGACTCTTGCGCAAGACCAAGCCTAAGACCAAGACTGAGTTTGCAAGACTAAGACTCGCCTCGGTCTCGCATTTGGGCAACACTAGCTCCAACCTTCTAGGCCTGACTAGAAATATAAATATGACTGAATAGGTAGCGAGTAGGCCGCTCAAACATTAGGCCGATAAATCAACACTATATAAATCTTTTATTAAGAATAAATTTCATAATAATAAAGTAATATAATAGTTTAAAATAGATATGACGAGTATGATACTGGCTACTATAACAAGACGCATGTATTTTACATAAGAAATATAATGGACAAGTACATGATAGCTTATTATGGTAAATTTTATATTTCAAGATATGTGATTTTTTTTTAAATATGTCAATGATCATACAAATAATTATTCATTAAAAATTAACAAAATAATATCGGATCTGACTGTAAATTGAAAAATTGTTTTTAAACTTGGAAATGGCTCGACGGGTTGAAACGTCGTAGTACTTTTGTATTTAACTCCTCTAATTTTTCACTCGGTCTCAGATTTCTCCTATCTAAAAAAATACAGTAATATCTCTATAGTAATAAGCTAATAAGTAACTGCAAGACTGTTACGAGACTTTTGCGTAAGACCAAGACTGAGTGCGCAAGACCAAGACTCGTCTCTCTCTCTCGCATTTGGGCAACAGTAGGGATGGTTAGAGTTTTCTGGTTGTACAGAATTGGAAACGAGAGATATCTTTTCTGAAGCTTACTAAACCTTACAGGAGATTACGACATATTCTAGTAAAGTAATAATGTAAGTAGAACATACCTTCTGACGCAGTGCGCCGCTGTCAAGACGAAGTCTCCATTGAGCAAGGACCCTCCGCAGTGGAACTGGCCGTCGTAAAGGATCCTGGCAACCCAGGGGTAGCGGTTGACACCCGTCGGCCTGCCCCCTACTATCCGGATCTCCTGGTTCACCACACCACACTCTTGAACACCGACCGCTCGCGTTAGTAGTCAAGTATTTGGTAACTTCAGCTAGGATGCCGTCGCAACACCCGGCTGGCCTGCTTGCCCTTACTCCAGCAATTTCACGGAGTTAGGGCTAAAGACGCTGCTTTCGTCAGGAGCTGCATTTCAGACCTTCCTACTTGTCTTTTAAAACCTCTATGCTTTAATAAAAATTAACTATCCATAGAAGTTCCCAACTAACTAACAGGATTCGCATCATTTCCCCTAGTAAAATAACGTTAATAACTGTGAGTGAACGGTATAGTTCAATTCGGTTTGGAAACTCTGGACATTATCCACGAAAAAATTAATTTCCTGTTTGAATTAATTCCTAATCAACAATTAATTAATTAAACCTCCTATTTGAACTTCAAAATTAATTTTAGTGTTGGTGGGAGAAAGTGGCACAGTTGTAGTATAAGGTTAAAGCGCGACGCTGGAATGCAGATCAGTAATATATACCCCGATGTTATTAATATTTTATCATGAATAATCTTTCAGAAAGTAAATCAAGAAATATCAATCTAATAAAATTGTATTTGATACTTATAATTGACAGAGAAAAGTTAACGTCATTTTCCATATAATATTTTTTTAGTCCTTGTTAATTTTGTTATACATGTATTTTTTTCTATATTTTTAATATATTTCGATTATTCCTTGTTTTATTCCCATAGATAAAATGAAAATTGAATCATACTCAGAGTAAAACTAAAAATAAAAAAATTCGCTTCGTTCCTGCCTTGTCATCAAAAATTATATTATATACATATGTATATATAAATGTAGGTATCAAATTTTACTAGTGGTGAAAACCATCATCAACAACACTATTTATTTTTTCGTACAAATTCTGTTTGAACATAAAACATTTAACTTTATTATTATTTTTCTTAGAATGAACCCAATGAACAGTTTTATAAAAGTGATATTGATAAAATTCAAGAATAATATGTTAGAATATATGTTTTTCCAATATATTCATATATTTAATTTTGTTCTTTGAATATTCATTGTAAATTTCTATCCGGTATTAAACGAAAATTTATTTATTTCATTGAGAAACGAGTGAACCAAACAAAATCCAAAAAAAAATTGAAATTATTCTACTACTTGAAAAATTAAGAAAAGGAACGTTTAGTAAAAATTCAACGTTTGAAGATTAAATCAATAACAAATTTCCTTGTTTTCTTTCTACAAATCTTTATCATTCAGTCATTTCGTAATAAAAGAGGAAGTCTATTCACCACCATTCCATCATTTAAATCACTGTTCCACTTTATTTTGAACTTCAGCGTTAGTAATTTGTCTTGGCATCCCAGCTGGCGTTACCAATATCTAACACTAGGTAGGAGTGTGCGACGTGTTGAAAATTGATTATTTTATTTATTATGATTTATTATCAAAATTGTTCTAATGTCAAACACAGTCCCACTTTTCCTATATAGTAAATTTTTCAATTATACAGAAAATAAAAAATTAAGGTATAATGACTTAATCGAAGGATATGATTGTTTCATTATTTTTATGAAAGAGTTTAAAATGTAGTTACGACAAGTGAAATTTTTTTTTTCTTTATGGGTTAAGAAGAACTTAAAATACTAAAAAAATGAACTTAGAACTGGCTGAATAAGTACGAATACATATGATTACACATATGTTTTAATCACCCAGAACCTCTTTGATACATACCAACTGGTTTACCTATGTGAAATGGAACAGTCAGATTGTATCTATTTCAATATATGTATTAGAACAATAAATTAGTTCCTCCATCCTTTGTTTTATATCATCTAATTTTGTTTGTCTTGTAATGACTATTCCCACTTCTTGAACTTGAGTAATCTCAAAGCCTCCTCCTCACAGAACGTGATAGTTCCCGGCGTTCAGAGATCACATTGTCTCTATCTCTGTGAAATATCAAGTTCTGTGTCCAGAAACTTCAAGATCATGGATGTAGCTCAACTGCATGACTTAGTCATATGGAATGTGCGTGTAGAATATTGTGAAACCGACTGTTAGTAAAATTTATAATTAAAGAAATAGGAAAGTAGTCAATTGAGGGTAGGGTAAGAATTTTAGGGCGATAAATTGCGAGATTACTACGCCAGTAGTAGTCAATTGTTCATTTTATAAACATGAAAAAATTGTGAGGAATTTTAGTCAATATTTTTATTGGGTTAGCCGACGTTTCGACCGAAAAATGTGTGTCACCCTCAGGACTATTGTTTGGAAGCTGAGACAAAATCGCGAGTAGATCCCAATATTTAAAACTTTAGAGATGGATAAGTAGTCAACTGATCAACTATAAGGATGGAAAAAATTCTCAGGAATTTCAGTCGATATTTTTATTGGTTTAACTGACGTTTCGACTCAAACATGTGGGTCATCATCAGGGCTATAGTTTGGAAGTCGAGATAAGAACTAGTTTAGTTCTTGTCTCAAGAAAAGTCAGTTCTTGTATCGACTTCCAAGCTATAGCCCTGAGGATAACCAACATGTTTGGCTCGAAACGTTGGCTAACGCAATAAAAATATCGACCTATATTCCTGACAATTTTTTTCATACAAATTGATAATTATATTGATTTTGTTGTTTACATACCATTCTATTCTTATTGTCCCTTTATTCTCGTTATTATTCTATTGATATTACTACACATTTCTTGTATTATCAGAAACGACACTGTTAATTAGTAATCATCACAAATTAACAGAGGTTTAGATGAGGATTAGTAATAGCCCGATGAACCTTTGTAAGTATAAGACTAACGGATTTGTCCGAATCTTTGCAATAATTTCGAAATTGTAAATGGAGATCCTGATTATTAATCGATTCCTAAGAACGAAAATTACTGACCGAAAAACATCTCTTAAAGAAGACTAACAACACTACTCATTCTGGAAATACCAGTTCTTCCTTCATAATTCTCGTAAGATCTCTTTGAAGGCAGTAAAATGACTGTTATATCACTTCCAATTCCCCTTTCACTTGTTAGCAGATCGCAGGCAAAACTTTCTCCCAACCTCGGTTAGTAGCTATTAACACTCTTATCCGACAAGGGTCCGTTTTCTTTCCTAATCTCGTATTTTTTTTTCCCTCTCCGTCCCACTCCCTTTGTTAACTGTTTTTAGAATGTTTATTTAAGAAAGTCTACAAAAGTCGTCGAAGAAAGTCGGGCGTACGACGTCCCGGAGACTTCCTAAAACGAAAGTAAGAGGAGGTTGTCCTTCGGCGATGGACCGCCTAGAAAGTTAGCGCCCCTTATCGCAGATTATGACCGAGAGTCTTATGCATTATTCAGTGACAGCCCTCATGAGGCTGACATTGCCGCAGTGAAAGGGGTGTCGTTGCAGACTTATTCGCAAAGGATCATTGTCCAATCGAAGCTCGGAGTCACGTTGGTATTGTTGGAGAGGGTTGGGCCTGTAAGTCAAATCGGATTTATTGCTAGGTCTATGATGAGGAATAGAAGAAAGGATTATAAGAGAAAGTTTAATTAATAGACTAAATAACACCTTAGTCCTTTTGCGTTTGCTTAAACCTTTTGAACAAGTATCATTCCTTTTGCTTTGATGTCGTTGAGTAATGGAAGCTAAACAATGGTGTCATGATATATACTAAAAGTTCTGTATTTGCAAGGTGGAAAGGAATTCTTTATTACTGATTTCACACATGGCACGCTCATAAGTATCCATCCCAAGTTTGTGAAAAAAAGAAATTCCATTTTTTTTCCCTCTTTATGATTTTCAATCACGTGGCATTCTTAGATATCTCTATCTTACAATTAATCATCCGGTCAGACCACCTTGGGTCTTTCCCAAGCGAAAACTGGTTACGTACATTTTCTTTGAATCCCATACAGAGTTCATTCATCCTTCCAGCTTTCTTTTTGCTAATAATGAGTCATTCTTCAATTTTCAGAACTTTTCTAGATTCTTCTTAATAAAACGAACTCATTATACACCCAACATGACATTCTATCATATTTTTTTATTAATTCGTGCAAACAGAAAATAATAGAATAATACAATTTTAGCATTGTATCCCTTTTCACACGCCCCATTGCAAAATAAAATTAATATTATATTTAATCTACATGTGGTTATTTTTTTTATAAAAACCCTTTATAAATAATTAAATAAAATATAATTGAAAATATCATTAAATAAATAAATAATCATTTTTAGATATTTTAAAAATGTTTTAAAATTATAATAAAATACTGTTAGATTAAAATGGGTTTTTATTAAAAAAATTATTATATATAGATTAAATATAATAATTATTTAAAAAAATCTCACAATATGAATAACCTAAAGAAGGTGGTTTATCATAATTAATATTATATACACTCTTAATGAAAAAAATATATAAATTAGTAAATATTAAAAATTATCTTCATAAAAAATTTATTTAGCAAATTAAGGATGATATATATCTCTTCAGCCATAGAAACCCCTTTCAAAATAGTTCTTTGGGAAAATATTTGAAATTAATGCGATATTTAAAAATATAATTAAAACAATCAAATATCCTTCGTTTAGTCAAAGATATTAGTAATATTATGTATTATGGATGTTACGAAATATGTCAAGATTCAACATGATATGGGTAACTAACTACAAGAGCAGTTGATGGAGGTCTCCTTCTCTTCCGGTTCTGAATCTCCAATCCCGAAGAAAATGTCATCGAAGAGCAGTCTTTTGGTTGCGTTGGAATCGTCGATTAGGTCCTAAAAATACAAAAAGTTCATTACAACGAGATTAGAGCATACAAAAAAAAAAAAATTTGGTAACACAATGATATTAATTATAATTAAAACATTACATATTCATGCATTCTTAATATGTTGTATATTTAATATGAGATGCTAATAACTTAAATAAAATTATATAAATTGTTCCTGCCCAAGAGTTGTAATTAATACTTGTTATTCTTTCTAACTTTAGAATTCTCTTCATTTTGTTTTCTACTTTAAAATTTTTCATATTTTATTCCGCGAATATCAACACACATGGCACATGGCTGACTAGTTATTTTACAACTTATTTTTAATATAGTTTCTCAGGGAATAACTAGTTATATATTTAGTTGTTGGTCATGAATTTTTGTTTTATCTCATAGCTATTCAGTATCTTGCTTCAGTATCTTGTAGATACATCATAATAAGATAGTATTCTATTTCTCTTGTTCTGGGGTATTGTTAGCATTTTTTGCCAACAAAAGAATGTACCGTAATTATTTAGTTTTATGTAATTTAATTATTGCCTAGCATACAATAATATATATATATATATAATATGAAGTATATGATAAAGTTTGAAATTTACAATATCTTCTCAGTTTGATTTTTGATTGCATTTTATGTCCAATAACCAAGAATGTTTAAAATAAAGTTCACAGATGGGTACTTAGATTTTCATTAGTCAATCAGTAAATAATGATAGAAAACTGATTAAGAATTTATCAAGAAAGAAATCTAAATATCAAATGATGTTCAATTGAAACGAATTGTCCAATTTTGATTTTTTCGGTTTTATACAAGCTATATTTACTGAAGTGATCTCAATTTTATAAGATTTTGTATTAAAAAAAAAGATTATGTTGACTTACTTGTTTATCCTTACTTTGAAATAAATTAATAATTTTATGTCAAGGGTACTTAAGTCAGCATGACAGTAAATCCTTGACCCGAAGAACTTTATGTTCATAATAAAATTGAGGTCTGATTAATATACATCAGTAACTGTTGTAAATGCTTTGTGCATACATTTTTTTTTCTCTTTTATGGTTTTACCCTAAACTCTTTTTTATTTTTGTTTTGATTTCGATTCATAATCTTCTATGCTTTTATAAGTGTGTTATTATTTTTAACTTTCCTAACGGTTGTTATACTTGTATCCGGAAATTTCTTCTCAACTTGCTTGAGAAGAATTTCTGCTCAACTGGATTTATTTCTTTTTTTTCCACTATTAATCTTATTTAATTACCGAATTATATTATAAATAAATATATATGGAATAATTCATATGTTATTAATTATTATAGATGGTTAGTTATTTCAATTAAACAAAATTAAAGGTGCTGTAAAGGAAGAAATGTGAAAGGAATATGACCTTGCTGATAGAAAAATCATTGGATTTAATACCGATATGGCGAGTTTAATCAAAATTGTTGAAGACGTTTTTAATAAAATTTTAAGAAATGTATAAAGTCGATGAAATTTCGATTTTAACACAAAAAAAAATTTGTGTTCCTGATTTGACTTCTCAGGAATGACGGTTACCTTAAATACCTTTTAATTTTTGAGCTATAATATTATTACATATACAAACCACTTTGAGAGATTTGGTTATTTAGAAATAAGAACGTTATCTTACCGTTGAACACTCGTATTTAAAATCAGATTAATCTAAGATACAAAAAGCTATTGCATTATTTTCTCTTACTATTTCATATATAGATAGTTAAATGTAAAAAATAAAAAAATAAACTATATACCACACGATAGAATTAATGACACTTTTTCGCCTTTAATGACATTTTTTTTTCTTTTTCGCTTCTCTAATACGGCGCACAGTTGGACAATAAACATTTTTCACTGTTTTTATTGAATAGCTCAATTGAAACAATAAATTGATTTAGTCTATGTCGCGAGTTTTCCCTTACTTGACCCTCTGCAAGGCGTCGTAATAAGATACAATTTGGATTATAGTCCATTACATATAGGATGTCCATTAAAAAGTTCAAGACGAGGCTACAGTAGTTTTCACTTCAAAAAGTAGTTCAATTTTATCTTGAGCTAGATAAAATCCAAAATAGTGGAAAATTTAATTTTTGGGGCGCTGTGAATGATAGAATTAAAAAAAAAAATTCAACGATCCACATTATTTTTTCTTCAATCTTAAATGCATGAAGCAGCTAAAAATCAGTTGGTTTAAAAATGTATATCCGATATTTTGGTTAATAAAAAAATAGAAAACCAGTAAGTCCAAAAACTTTGAAAAAACATCATAAAGGATGTAATTTAACATTTGAAACTTATATTATTTTTTTTAGCCGTCAACCGAATATCTCATCAAGAGGACCGTTATTTTTTTTTTAAATAACACTGCTCTCTCTGTTACCGCAGGGTGAGTTTCGAACCAGGACTTTCACTCGACTCTACGATCTACTTATTCGGAACGTAGGCGGTTGTCTCCTATCCCAAATGGATAACGTTAACTATTTTGACAGTACATAATAAAAACCGAAATAATACAGAGACTACAGTGTCTAAGGCGCTTAAAAACTAATAAGTCCAAATGTAATTCATTAAAGAATGAAGAACAGAAGAATAGTTGGGGTGATCAGTCAAATAAGAAGGCAAAAATAAATGATAATATTTATTTTTGCCTTCTTATCTGACTGATCATCCCAACTATTATTCTCTCCATTATTCACGACCATTTTACCCACAATTATGTAATTCATTAAACTTCTAACAGAATAGATGAATAATATTGCGGCATTGGATTCCGAAAATCTTAGAGGCATGTTATCGTTTTTTTTAGGGTATATTATATAATATTTTTTACTATCTATAATATAAATTATGTATAAACCGTAATATAAAAAAGAAAATATCAAAATAAATTTGAATCTCAAGTGGTCCGATATAGCCTCATTTCGGAGAATACCACAAAACCCATGTTTATGGTATTTTGGATGAAGAGAATTTTCTACTACAAATATATTAACACTTCAAATACATTACTACGAATAAATACATTGCTATTATTAGAATGAGTAGGCATAACAAAAATGATTTTTTTTTTTTTTGGCCCATGTTTGTTTCTGAAAGAGTAAATTGCAACAGATCACAATCCGACTGTAGCCACTATGTGAAGGTCAAGAATTATTAAGAAAAAGTAAACCAATCCGGCTCCAAATAAAAATTAACCCTCAGTCGGATTCTAGTTCGTGCTGGGTTTTTCCTTAAAAATGAATCAGGACTTTGGGTTTCTGCAACAAAATGTTCGGGTTTCTAACGCTAAATAAATAACTGTAATTAAATATTATATTATTATGTTATATGTTTATCAAAATGTTTATGTTAGATTGTATTTTGTTTTATTTATTCATATTAGTTGGACCGTGTGAATAATTCCCATAGTATAAGCGACATTGAACAGTTGAAAATACAATACAGAAATAAGTCAATGCAAATGTATTATAAGATAGAGGGAATGGTTTTATCTTTCTCAGTTCAATTAGTTCAATCGTAAAAATAAAGAAAAACATGTGCAAATAGACTGTATATTTGCTAATCATGGTCCGATTTCAATATCTGTTTTTTTGTTGTGGGAAAGGGGGAGAATTTAGTAATCTTTCAAATAATCTACATTTTTTAGTTATTCGCAAATAAATTTTCTTATCCTTCATAACATTATTCCTGAAATTTCGTTGGAGGTGTCTATAATTCGTCAATTTCTCCATGAAATTCACTTTTGTTTGATACCTCATTTATCAAAATCAATCTCTCATAATCTATTATAACAGAGTGTATAAAAAAATGATCGTTTTATAAAATTCAAGATTTCAAGGGACTATAAATATTTTAATCCTAATTATTTTAATTACTGTCAATGCCTTATAATCCCTTTAAAGCATTCTCTAAGATTGTTTAATTCCATTCGACTTCTTCAAAAAAAAAAATCCTAGTTGATTAATTTGTTTCAAAGAATAAACATGACGGTGTCCTATGCAATTCTCGTAATTTTAAGGTATTAGTGAAAAAAAAGCCATAGCCGCTAAATAAATATGATGGGGAAGGTGTTCCCTGACCAGCGCATTGCGCGGCGTTGATTTGAAAAATTTAACAGTGGAGATACGATGTTGGAAAGGTAAAGGGGCTCCAGGTAACCATTAATGAATATTGATGAAGTTCTGCAGAAAGCCGTTGAGTCAAATCCGTCTGCTAGTATTCGCGAACTTGCCAGGGGATGTGTTGTGTCGAAAGATTCTATTAGGCGCCATCTACTCTCCATGGGAAAGGGGAAAAACTTGAACTTGCGGTCCAAGAGATCTTTTACAGCCATCCAAAAAGAATGCTATCAGCGCGGGACCAGGCAATTGGCTAGCAGATGGCTAAAGACGGTAGATAACAATACTTTGAGCATTAATTGTATTTTACATAAAAGAAATAATAATACAAATATATGGTTGAATAACAGTAATTTTTTTCTTATACACCCTTATTGTATAAAGATAAATTTATATTTATATTATATATTGTATTTATATTTTCATATTTATAAATATTTTTAAATTTTATAATGTTTTACTGTTAACTAAATATTCCATATTTTTACATGAAAATAACTTACGACTAGAGGGTTTCTGCAATAAAGGGCATCAAACCCTTAAAATCACTAATTACATGTGAATAATTAAATATTGTAATCAACGATACTTCAAATAAAAGCTCATTAGCACACTAATCTTTCACTTCGTTCCTGATTATGTCACGCTTAGTATCTATGTGTCTATCAGGCATTAGAATGTTTGTATATGTTTCTAGTAGAATATGTTAATTTATTATTCCCTGTTGAAAATCTGAGTACACTCCATAGATTGAAATAATAGAATATCTGTCTAATTCAATGGCCAGGAACCAAATCTATTGATCTACAAAGACGTTATCTTTTCTTGCTTCAACAAAGTTATGCAATATAGATTCCTCTAAAGTGC